GCGGCCCCACCGCATCCCCAAAGGCTGCCCCTGGGCGGGGCCCTGCACCTCCCGCGGGCGGCACGCCCCGCCTCCCCCGCCCAGCCGCCGAGGGCCGGGCACGGGACGCCTCCTACCTGGATGCAATTGATGACGAAGGCGTGGCCCCGGAACACCCTCTGCAGCACGCCCGACTGGGCGTCGAAGGCCCGGGCGCAGGCGTCCCCGCTGCCCGTGAACACTGTGGACACACAGGGGCACACTGGGCCTCCGCCGCCGGCCACCCAGCCACCTTCTCCCAGAACGCGGGGACGGAGAAGGGAGAGCAGTGTGACCTGTGGCAACTCCAGAACTCGGTTTCCTCATCCGCCTGCCTCCCGGGGACATCCTAAGGTTCAAGTGCGGTGTGGAGAGGAGCCCCCTGGGAAACCAGGGGTCACCTTAGTTATGCTGCCACGTTCTGTGGTTCCTGGGAGAACACTGAGCGCCACAGGGGCTCTCCGGGCTCTGCCAATGCCTGTGCAGGACCTGTGGCTGTCACGCCTTCCTTGAGCTTCAGGTCAGCCTGCACTGTCCCTCCAGGTGGCCTGCCCCTCCTGGACATCTCCTGGGCCCAGGTCCCCACCCCCAGGCCATCTGGTAAAGCTGGCTTCTCCACCTGGTGTTTTCCAAGGCTCAGAAGCCTCTGCCTGAGGACACTGCCAGCTCCGAGGGCTCTTCCCCTCTACCCACAGCCAGAGCAGCCTCATCCTCCCTCTCCTCAGAGACGGACTTGGCGCTGGAAACAAAAACCCAGGCCCTCTAAGGTTCAAGGCCATGCCCCTGTGGACACCGGGCAGGAGCCTCAGTCCTGTCTTCCCCACGGTTCCATCTCTCCTTGGGGTTTTCTCTACATTATGACTTCCTCTGATTGTGTTCCAACTTCAAAGTGCATCAGAGTTCCTTGGAGAACTTGTGGAGACAACAGATTGCTGGGCCCCCTCCCAGAGTTTCTGACTTAGCAGGTGGGGCCTGAGAATGTGGATCCCTAACTCCTTCCAGTGCCATCGCTGCTACCCTCAGGGGACCACACTGAGGGTGCTGACTAGAGGCGCTCACTTGTCAGGCTGGGCTCTCAGAAGCCAGTCCTGACACGAGGGCTTGCTGCCAGCAGTTCACTTGGCAGGCGTTCCAGGAAGCACCCACAGGGGAATGGGGGATGGGGGACAGGGGAGGCAGCCACTGGGGCCCAATCTTGCCGGGGGCACCGGGAAGAAGGCGCCGAGCCACCCGGGGGGGGGAAGGACACTAGGCTACGTATCCATCCATCCATTCTCACTAGTCACTGGTCGAGGGCGCTTTGTGGGGGTTCACCCCCCACCCCGACACCTCCGGGGCGGAGGCTCGCAGGCGCTTGCAGCAAGAACCCTCCATGAGTGCGGACCCTAGCCCTGGCCGCAAACGCTGCCGCAGCCGCAGGATCAGCCAAGGCCAGCACCCCAGCCCCTCTCTGGGTGGCTCCCTGGCCTTGCGTTATCTATTCCTTACCCTGCTTCCTTCCTTCACCCAGGCCCTGCAGGGGAAGTTTCGTTTCTGGGTCTGGTCAGCAACTTTCCTGCCTCCCCCACCCCCTACGTGGCCCTGAAAGCCCAGTGCGGCTGCTGGGCTTCCTGTGGGCGGGAAGGGGGTCAGGAATGAAGTCTGAGCCTCCTGTAGCCTTGTCAGGAAAAACCAAGCAGGGAGCTTGGTAACCGCGGGCCACAGGCAGGGTCCGGGAAACCAGCTTCCCCTGAGGATCTAGTGCCGGCTGCTGCCAACAGGGGTCGCTCTGGGCGGCCACCCGCGGCAGCCTCTGAGCGTGGGGCGCTCTTCGTGTTCTGTTGGCGGCCCCAGGGTTGGGAGCAGAGCCATCGTCACACTTCCAGGCCTGGGCGCAGGAAGAAAGAAAAAATAATTTTTCCTGTCAGACACCTAAATCCCCAGGGCATGCCGGGCTCTAATTTCAGAGATCCACATCCTGTCTTCATCTCACACCTTTGCTGTGAAGTCAACCTGAATTTTCCACTGTGACTCTTTCCCGACTCCGTCTCGCCCCTCCCAGGGTGGGGAAGACACTCTCAGGGCCAGGTCGCAAGGTGGGACTGGCTGCTGTGGACGGTCGTGTGAAAAGAAGGGGAGGGCGGGGAGGGCTGATGGCAGCGCTTGAACTGGGGACCGTGCTGGGAAGAGACTCAGGAACCGCGGAGCCACAGTCCCGTGGAGCGTGGTGGGGCTGGGGCTGTTCCTCACACGGTGTCTGCTTTCTGGATGTGTCTGGGCTGTAAACATGTGTGGGGTGTGGAGTCAGATGGACAGAGGCCAGAGGGCCTGGATGTAGGAGAATTTGAGACCCGTGGAACAGACGGCTCTTTGCCTGCCCAACAAGCCATTCTGCCCTCTTTCTTTCCCAGATAACCCCGATTCCATTTTGGCAGCAATGTCCTCAAATAAAAGACCTTATCTGGTCCCTCTGGCAGACAGAGTGGTCATAGAGAGGTATGCAGAAGCCTTGGGGTGATGCTTCCAGGGAAGCGCTTAAAGAGGTCAACTCGGCTAGAAGAGGCATCCTTTGGCCCTTCCCTCCTCTTCTTCTTGCCTGGCTAAAACGTGACATGATGGCTGGAGCTCCAGCAGCTACCCTGAACCATGAGGTGAGGCGTCCCTAAAGATAGATGGCATGTGCTAAGGATGGCGAAGCAAAGTGATGGAAAGAGTCTGGGTACCTGATGACTTTGTGGGGCCACCCATGCCGGCCCAAACTGCCAGCCTCGCGACTTCTACCTGAGAGGTAAATAAACCACCACCTCACTTAAACCACAGTTGCTTGGTTTTCTCGTATCTGTAGTCAAAGCTGAGGCCAAGCGAAGCCAAACCCATGTGGTCCTCGAATCTGGCTGGATTAAGTGAGTGTCACATGGAGAATTAGAAAGTGCCCTTGAGAAGGACCTTTTGACCCTCGGACCTGCAAACATTCATGTATCACACGTTTTTGTAGAGTAAAAGTGGGGAGGAGTCCCCAGACCCTTGCTGGGACCTTCTTTGCGAAACAGCTGGAGGAGCTGGTCTGTGGAGAAGGAACAGTTGCTGCCGTTGGGCACTGACAATCCTGACCGGAAGTCAAGTCTCCATGAGGGAAAACCGCACAGGAAGTAAAGAAGCAGAGAGGAAAAGCCAGGCTGGGGTGGCATGGGCAGGGTGGGAACAGGTCACTTACAGGTGCCCGCGTGGTACTTGAGGGCGCTCACGCTGCGTCTGTGGGCTGCGAACGTGCGCACATGCTCCCCCGTGTCTGCCAGCCAGCACTTGACGGTCCTGTCCGCGCTGCCCGAGTACATGAGCCGGTTCACAAGCTGTGAGAAGGAAGAGGGAGGGTTGGCCCACCGCTGGGTGCTGCTGGCCTACAGCAGGGGCAGCGCCAAAGCCTCCAGACCTCTCCCTCTCTCATGGGGGAAGAGGCACGCGCAGGTGTTGGTGGTACAATTGTGGATGAGCCAGAATGACCCTGCCAAGGGCTCCACCCACCACTACTTGCGGTGCCCAAAGCAGGCAGCTCCTCCCTTCTCCACAGAACACTGAGGGGTCAGGAGAGCAAGCAGGCCATTCGACAGACCTGGCTGCCTGTCTTCACTCTGTCCTGGGCCAAAACCCTGGCTCTCTGCCCCTCTGCCACTGCACCTGTGGATAAAGATGCTGACGGCCCCTTTGGAGGGCGTGCAAGGGTTACCAGCGCCACATAGACAGCCTTAATAATTTACTCCTGGTGTCTGGCTGAGAAAAGGGCTCCCAGAAGGGCTTTCATGCAGGGTTTGTGCTTACAGAGCGCAGATAGGAGAAAGGTGGGTGAGTATGTGAAGCAGACTTCTGCCAGGACCGGAGCTGACAGCCAGGGGTCATCACAGGGGGCTGCTCCCCCCGCGGGGTTTCCCGGAGCTGCCACCCCATGGGGAGAGAAGGGGGCTCCAAGACAGGTGCGCCCCAGTCGGCTGAAGCCGCTGTCTTGCAGGAGGTAAGGAAAGCGCCCCCGAGATGAGGGAGGGGCCTCCGTCAAGATGGATGGGAGTCCCAGCCTCAGGGAAGGTCAAGACTTAAAATAATTCTGTAGGCCGGGCTCGGTGGCTCAGCCTGTAATCCCAGCACTTTGGGAGGCCGAGGTGAGTGGACTGTCTGAGCCCATGAGTTCAAGACCAGCCGGAGAAGCTTGGTGAGACTTCGTGTCTACGATAAGTCAAAAAAATTAGCCAGGCGTGGTAGCGCACACCTCTAGTTCTAGCTACGTGGAAGGCTGAGGCAGAAGGATCACCAGAGCCCAGCAGGTCGACACTGTGGTGGCTGTGAGTGTGCCACTGCACTCCAGCCTGGGCGATGGAGTGGGACTCCAACTTAAAAAAAAAAAATTCTGTAGATTCCCCTAGACTAAACACCGCCCAGTCAAGAGTGTTCCCAGTCAGCACCTCTGGCAGGCAACATGCATATGAGAAGCCAAGGGTGGGCAGATGGGCTCCTCAGCTGCAGTGACCTGGGTACAATAGCGGGATGACAGGAGCAGGCTAGCCATGGAGAAAGCTGTCAGCAGCCACTGCTGGGACCCAGCAACCAGGAACCAGAAACAGATCAGGCACGCAGGGTCCTTCTCTCACGGGCAGCAGGCCCGGGGTCAGTCCAAGCTGGCCACCAGCATCCTGAACATGTCCCTCCTAACATGGCCATCACAGCCCTGCTCTGGGGCACTTTCCACTTCGGTTCCCACAGTTCCTGTTCCTGACTCAGTTTCCCCGTGTTGTTTTCTTAGTCAAATCCCAGAGGACAGGGCTCTGTCAAGCCCAGCCCATCTTTTCACCCTGGCCACAGTCCAGGTCAAAGGAGTTAACCGGTCCTGGGCCAATCACTACTACCACAGACAACAGTGGACCCATGAGGAGCCCAATGTGGCCTCCTGGACACGGAGGCTGTGGGGTGTTTCCCGTAGATGGTCACCTGTGTCTCTTAGGCTCTGAAGTCCTACTAGAGTTATGGTGGGCCCTGGCCCATGCAGCCCTTCTCTCCCCAAGGACAGGAATGCATGTGACTGTCTGCCTGCCCACGTCAGCTCCAGCAGGGGTCTGGAACATTTCTGCACTCAGACCTCTGGCTGTCTGTACCACCCAGGAGCACGGTTCCTTCCACCAGCACGGGCCAACAGGAGAGCCAGGTGTCCCGTCCTGAGCCTGCTGGGCACACAACTGGTTGCTCACAGCCTTCCGAGGCCCCTCTGCTTCCTTGGAAAGACCTCTCCCCAATCCTGGTGCCCAGAGGCCTCATGTGACCTGATGTCTCGGCTCGTACCTCCCAGCTTCTGCTTCACACGCCTGCTCCAAACACACCTGTGTCCACACTATGCCCTGGGGCTCCTGGGCACAAGCCTTCCTCCCCAGGTTTCATACAGATACTCCCTGCCCAGAAAGTCCCACACACATCCGCGGGCAAGTATGGAAGCCTGCCAGGCCCCTACTCAGGCTGCTCTCACATGCTTGTCTGCGTCCTGGAGACTAGGCTGCCACTGGTGGCCCAGCGCGTCCTGGCCATCTCCCCACCACACGGCCAGCCCCTGCCTCTGGTGCCCATGTCTCTAGACCTTCTGATGAGACACTCTGGTTTCTAGTAAGGGGAGTGGGTATGGGCAGAACATCTGGGATTGAGACCCCTGTGGACCAACCAGCTTCACAACCTCCAGGCTTCTATGTTGCTGGGCTTCGCATGGAGGTGGCTGGGTATCCACACCTGGTAAGGTAAAAGGGAAGCCCCTTTGGCTGGGTGAGGTGGCTCACATTAGGTTTTTTTTTGTTTTTTTTTGAGTTGGAGTCTCACTCTGTCGCCCAGACTGGAGTGCAGTGGCACGATCACAGCTCACTGCAGCCTTGACCTCCTGGGCTCAGGTGATCCTTCTGCCTCAGCCTCCCAAGCAGCTGGGACCATGGGCACATGCCATCACACTCGGCCTATTTTGGGGTTTTTTTGTAGACATGAGGTCTCACTATGTTGCCCAGGCTGTTCTCGAACTCCTGGGCTTAAGCAATCCTCCCGCCTCAGTCTCCCGGAGTGGTGGGATTACAGGTGTGAGCCACCACACCTGGCCTACCATTGTGTTTAAAAACAATCAAGCAGCTCACCTTCCAAACACAGGTCTGGAGCCACCACACCCAGGGGTTGGTCTGAACACGGTGGCTAATACTCATCCCTAACATGCAGACACAACCTCTGCCCACCAGTTCCGCAGGGGCAGATGAGACTCACGTGAGGCTGGCACAACTAGGTTTTTATCACTCAAGCCAGGTCCTGCTGCCTCAGGCTGCCTCCCCCAACTCCCTCCTCATCACCCCCAGCAGCGCCTTTCCATTTTCTCTGGTTGGATTTGAAATGCTTCATCATCCTCCCTCCCTCCTCCTTTCTTCTTTCCTTCCCTCCTCCCTTTCTTTTTCCTCTTTTACTGGGACAGGGTGTTGTTCTGTCATGCAGGCTGGAGTGCAGTGGCAATTTTCTCACCTCAGCCTCTGGAGTAGCTGGCATGTGTCACCACGCCCAGCTAACTTTGTTATTTTTTTGTAGAGAGGGAGCCTCACTATGTTGTCCAGGCTGGACTTGAACTCCTGGCCTGAAATTTTAGGCATAAACCACCACACCCTGCCACTGCATTTCTTTCATTTCTTTATTTTTTTTGAGTTGGAGTCTCACTCCATCGCCCAGGCTGGAGTGCAGTGGCATGCTCACAGCCACCCAAGCGCCGACTTGCTGGGCTCGGGCGATCCTTCCGCCTCAGCCTTCCAAGAAGCTGGAACGACAGGCAAGCGCTACCACATCCAGCTATTTTTTTTTAAGTTTTTGATTTATTGTAGAGGTGAGGTCTTGCAAAGTTGCCCAGGCTGCTCTTGAACCTGTGGGCTCAGGCAGTCCTCTCACCTAAGTCTTCCAAAGTGCTGGGATTACAGGCTTGAGCCACCCTGCACCCTGCCTGGCCCACTTCATTTCTTTTTTTTTGAGTTGCAGTCTCACTCTGTCACCCAGACTGGAGTGCAGTGGCTGCTCCTGGCCACCGCAGCCTCGACCTGCTGGGCTCCGGCGATCCTTCCGCCTCAGCCTTCTGAGTAGCCGGAATTACAGGCGTGCGCTACCACGCCCGGCTGATTTTTTGATTTATTGTAGAGATGAGGTCTCGCTGCCCAGGCGGGTCTCGAACTCGCGGGCTCAGGCAATCCACTCACCTCAGCCTCCCAAAGCGTGGGATTACAGGCTGAGCCACGGAGCTCGGCTCCACTTCATTTCTTTAAGGTCACAATGTTGATATTTGTTTTCAAAGTGGGTAGATAGGCATCTGTTTTAATACTTGCTATACTTTATATCTGAAATGATTCAAAACTAAAATCATAAGTACAGACATATAAAACCATGAAGGGACAGGAAAGAGACTCCACTTTCCTTCCTTCATGGGAAAACCATGCTAAGCTCAGATCCTGGGAACTCCTCCAAAGAGCAGAAAGGGGGCCACCCCCTTGGCGTTCAAGGGGACACTACAGCCTAGGAGCCCCGTTTCTTTTTGACCCAGGGATTCCTCACCTCTCCTTTGGCCTCTCCCTCTCCGGAGGAGACCTGTGTGCTCTGCACCAGCTGGAACTTTCTGGGGTTGGTAGGCTCAACCCTGGAGACACGTTCTGTAATAACCAGGGCTTGGCAATTCCCCGGGGCCTCGCCTCTGCTCCTGCAAGGTTCAGAGTGAGCCATACACTACGAGAAAGCTGGGAGGAAGCTTCTGTGGCTGCCGGTCCACACAGGGCCAGTGGGGCTGGAGACAGGATGCATGAGGCTATGTGCTATGGTCTGAGCTTGACGCCCCCCCAAGATTCACGTGGAACTTAATTCCCAGTGTGACAGCATGAAGAAGCAGGGCCTTTCAGGAAGCCATGAGGGCCCACCTCACGAATGGGGTTAGTTCCTCACAGAAGGGCTTGAGGGAGCCCATTGGTCCCTTCTGCCACGTGAAGATGCAGCAAGAGGCACCATTCATGAAGCAGAGAGCAGCCCTCACCAGGCGCTAAGCCTGCCAACATCTTGATCTCGGGCTTCCCAGTCTCCAGAACTGTGAGAAATACATCTCTATTCTTTATAAATCACCCCGCCTAAAGTATTTTGCACTTTCTTTTTTTCTGAGACGGGGTCTCGCTATGTTTCCCAGGCTAATGTTGAACTCCTGGGCTCAGGTGATCCTTCCACCTCGGCCTCCCAAGCAGCTGGGACTACAGGTGTGTACCGCCATGCCCAGCTCTCCTGTTTCAGGTATTTTTGTCATAGCAGCAGGAATGGACCAAGACACTGTGTAATT